TGTTTATCTAAGTGTTATTTTGGTATGTTCATTACTGTCAAACTTCGACAGGCTCGATTTCAGGAAAGCCCAGATGTCCTAAGTAGTTACCAACCCAACAGCCTATGAGCTACAAACAGCATTTTGCCTGGTTTTAAGCATCTACCAACAAATCTCCTTCTTACCGGGGCGCATCCGTACTGATAACTGACCATCTTGAGCTTGATGGCATAATTTAAGATTCCTGTCATCTTACTCTGACTGTATCTGGCTGGAAGTTGGGCACCAGTGAGGGGGTACTTTTATCAAGTGCAGGTGCACGAGTATCGAGTAGATAGATACTATTCACATGTTTTGGGATGGCTCGGCACCAGCTAAAACCAATAGAATATGGGTACCTACCTACTTTCCAGGACCCAGCTTCAATGCTTGAATCCTGTTACAAGCTTTTAATCGAATCTAGTTCGGTGAGTGTGCAGAGTAAGTGCACACCTTGATTCCAAATAATTTTCATCATCCCACTACTAATGGGATCCCACTACTAGTCGGCAAACGTTTCATCTTACATTACTAGATAAGAATCGCTAAGGAATGATACTTATTTACCTAGATATTTAAATGGGTAGTAGGAAAATTTTATAATATCTGACCAAAGTAGGGATAAAAAATGAACTGCCTTAAAGGTAGACACAGTACCGTAGAAGCATGAAGCAATTCGCTTCATGAGTATGCGAAGATAACAAGTAGATAAAACAGGCGTTTTTTTCTAGTTTTAACACACAGAAAACATCCAGAAGCGTTTTTATGAACTAACCATTTTTTGTACTTAAGTTCTATGTAATTAATTATTCAGATAAATTAAGACTTAGGTCGGTAGCTGGCTACTTTTTAAACCAATAAATATACATCGCAAAAACCAGTTTTGTATAATATATTTATCTAATTACCTGTACGTTTATTGATAAGATTAAGTAAAGTAGGTACCTACCTATTCAAAACACGTATGATAAGTGCCTAATTAGTAGCGGTAGCTGTTGCCGCAGTATGTAGGTAGCCTGTGTCCTACTCTGGAGTGTATCCTCCCTGCCTGTGCCAAATTTTATCCAGATCCGTCTAGCCGTTTTGCGTGATTGAGTAGCAAACATCCAAACATCGTAACTTTCGCATTTACCCTATAATATTAATAAGATTAGTAAGAAATAAGATAACCGTGGTAGTAGGTACATTCCTGCGTAAGCAAATGACGCTAATAGTAGGTACCAACAGACATAATTATCTACCTACCTACCAAGAAAAGTCGCCTAGAAAGAGTTAAGAAACTTGGTTAGCCTGCATCCTCAGAATACAGAACAAACCAGAATCCGCGTTCACTCATAATTACATGTCGTCAAATGTGTCCAAAAACAATACGTCAATCCCCCCGCCAGCCGCACTTCCCACCCGCGTAGTGTTGCCGACAGTGGAACAATTCCCTTGGTTTGGGGTAATTTTACAACAAGAGGGTAAGATATATTTTTGTTGGGTAAACCCAACAAAAATAGGTAAACTTACTATAAATGTTAATGTTAATTTTAGTTACACCTACTTTACACAACAAATAAAACAAAGCTACAATAAGTGCGAAGGTTTTATTGCGTTCCCTTTTGCTGGTTTAGTTTTTTATAATATGTAGGTATTGTCTTTAGACTCGGAACTAAAGATTAGAAGTCTACTTACTTTACTTAGTTCCTGTGATTAGCGCATTCAAGCAAACAAACAAACAAACTCTTCAGCATTATAATTAGTATAGATATATCTCAGTAAGAAATGCTGTTTTCAAACCACCTTTGTCATAAATACATTATCGCTTCAAAGTGAATTGAGCAAACTATGCTCTGGTTAGATGGTTTCCAAAATTAATGTAACCGTGCTCTTTGTATGATTTTTTTTTTGTTAGTCGGCAGGGAACTAATAAGTATGACATAGGCTCCATAATGGACAAAAATATAACTCACAACAAATAAATAAGTGGGTAAAATTTTCACCAAAAATGACAACACTCACAAAATGGCCGCATAATTTTCATAGAAAAATAAATCGATAAAAAAAATCAATAATTCATTAAATATACTATTGCAGTCGATGCTTGCAGATGAAATGTAATCTTATCCACTTTTTTCATAATCCCAGCCGCATTTTTACTCGTAGGAATAACACAAGACGGCATATTAAAATTGATAATCGTAAATACGTCACGACATGCCACGTGCCAAAATTGACTAATCGTAGAAATTTCATTCTACTCTAGTTATGAGTGGTTTTAGTTGATTCAGTTTGAAGCGCGATGACGCCTTCTGGTTTGTTCTGTATTCTGAGGGTCAAATTAAGTGAATGTATCATTAATGGACCCCACATTATACTACTAGTAATAGTAGTAGGACTGCTTGCATCCGTTAGCTTAGCTGCAACTCAAGGTGGCGGTCGCGCGGCGGCGCGGTTGCAGCAGGTCCCAGGGAGGACGGGACGTGGATGGCACGGAGTGGCTAGGGCTCTGCTTTGTACGGTACTCCGCCACGAGTACAGCAGAAGGCATCTTGACATTTTATAGGTAATGCTGCTCTCACTAACAGCGATACCCACCAAACCTTACCCTAGCTTTCCCCCCCCCCCCCCCCCCCCCCCCCCCCCCGTCTCGTGTGTAACCTTAATGGTTAAAGCTACATAGAAATTATGTATGAATGAAAAATTCTACAAAAAATTATATAAAAAGATTGTTTTACAGTCTATATTTTAATTTTATGGTTATACCTAACTCACAATAGCACACGTAACTCCTGATAGCTTAGCACTTCGAATAATAATTTAATGATAAATGACCTACCAAGCATAATAAAAGGATCGATATGCCTACTGTTTGCAGATGACCTAAAACTTATACACGAAATAAGGGATAACGAGGACCATGTTAGTTTACAACACGATATTGACAGAGTCATTGAATGGAGCCGGGAATTCAAGTTGTATTTCAACGTTGCTAAATGCTCAGTTCTGTCATTCACTCGTGCAAGCAGTCCCCGTCACCACCGATACTGCATGGAAGGTGAACTGTTGCAACGCGTTACGGAGGTGAAAGATTTAGGAGTCCATTTTGTATCAGAGCTACACTTCAGGAAACACATTATGGATGTCTGCAAGAAGGCATACCGCAATCTAGGTTTTATTTTACGTCAGGCAAACGAGTTCAATAACAACGCAGCTTTAAGGGCGCTCTATGAAGCTTTAGTTAAAAGTCACTTGGAGTGTAACTCTGGTATCTGGAGTACACATGAGGACAAATATAAGTTCATGATAGAACGAATCCAAAATAAGTTTGCCAGATTCATGTATTCAAAATCGTACGGTATATACCTACCCTGGATACCCAATACCATATCCAACTTTGTTTGTACTGGGTATGGTAGGATACTACAAACTGGAGGTGAGGCGTGAAGTAGGTCTAGCTACTTATATGTTTAAGGTGTTGCGAGGTATAACGCACCACCCTGCCCTACTGGAGGAATTACACCTGTGTGTTCCGAACGGGTACGTGCGGCGTAGGCGGCGGCCGCGGCGGCCGCGGCTGCTGGTGGTACCGTGCGCACGCACGAACCTCTTGCAGAAGGCACCAATGACGCGAGCGTTGCACATATTGAATGCAATAGCGGCCAGTATGGATATATTCTCGTGTACACTCAACGAGTTCACAAAGGTAGCATATGAGGTTATTGTGAATAATAACTAAGTTCCTAGGATTGGTACTTATTTGATTCTATTTATATAATTTATGTTGTTAGTAACTAGGTACATAGATTTTAAAATATAAGTACATATTTGTTATTACTAAAGTTATTTACGTTTATTAGGGATAGTTTTGTGGAAATGTATTAGCCTGTAAGTTTAATTAAGGTTCTTTGTGCTTATGTTCTTTTGTTTTTCTTGGTCTAAATTATTTTACGGTTATTACCCGGATATTGTGTTATAAGTTTACTAATAATATGTAACTGCATTTATCGTATTAGGTGTGCCTGTAATGATAAATGTAATGTTTAAATATAAATAAATAAATAAATAAATAATAAGCCATCGCGCCGTCGCATGTGAACACTGGATCATTCTATAAGGATTATTTTTGTGTAACGGTTGCCGCGCTCGACGCGACGCGATACAAAATATAATATAATAGGTTTTATGAAATATTTGTAATACTTACCTATTAGTTGGATCCGTACCATTTTATCTATGGGCGTACGGATAGCGGACACGTATTAAGTAATAGGGTAATTTACCCATTGGAGATGTACCCATAAAAATGAGACGATTAATAACAAACTTTATGTATACTTCGATTTTGTTCTATTGCTAAATTGCTATAGGCTGCTTTTTATCAACACAGCACGCGGGCGAAGCCGCTGGCGGTAGCTAATAAATAATAAAACGTGTGTTTTATATGTGTGTATAACTTGATATAAATTTATAATGTGCATATAAGTTTACTGGGTTTTTGTATCTAAGTATACTAGGCCCGTCTGTCAGTGACATTGTAACACCCAAAATGTCGAACTGATTATAATGTAGTCGTTTTTTCAAAGGGTGAATCGGACTTGTTTTCTTAGCCGTCGAGTCGCATGCATATCTCGTGACGATACTGCATAGAGCACAATTATATAGCGATACTGGTATCAGTATCAAGAAAAGTTGAACAGCCTACTGAAGGCAAACTGGTAAAACCACAGCTAATCTAGAATATATCTATATTACAAAGGACATTCACTTAACTTCTCGATACTAGCTTTTAAGAGTTATTATTATACTAAAACCAATTACTTATTTATTTCAGCCAACTAATTTAAACCAGATATGTATATCTCAAAAAGTTTTTTTTTCAGATGAATATAAACTTAAAAATAAAACTATACTTATTTTGGTGTTATCTAAACATATTATTTAATTTAACATTTGACATTATATTTAAAACAACTACATTACAAGTATAATAATCAGTGCAATATGGTTTATTGCCATCTGTAATGCGCATAAGCTCTGTTTGCTTCACACTGTCTGTGCAAATCTTGTTTTCTTTTAACAACTTTTCCAGTATTATTTGCTGCATCAAGGAGTTCCCATGCAAACTGTTTTGGGAAATGTACAGTCCTTTCTTTTTCATAAGTAGCTTCCAACAACCACTTAATGGCCAGGAACAAAGATCTTTTCTCAGTGATGGGCCCTGGAACCTGAAATAAAAGAAAATTAAACTGGATATTCTGTATTTTTTCATTGAATGAACAGTGATTTCTTAAGTTTATGTTTTAATAATAAAGGCAGTTGAATCATCATGATAATTATTCATATGGAGAATAGCATACCTCCTATGTCAAACTAACTTCTGTAGCTTATGCAAATAGTTATATAAACCAGTGTATACCTGATATGTGATACCTCCTCTCTTAATAGGCTGTAGTTGAAGAAGAGGTTTTGAATTCTCTATAGCTTTGTGCAGGATTTTCTTTGGGTCCAGTTCTATTTTAGCTTTAGCTTCAGGTGTGGTAGCCAAATGGTAGCGTTCAATCTGAGACCTCTTGATATTTTCAAATGCTTTCTCAACAAGATTCCGAGCCAACTGCTTATTTCCCTTTTCCATCACATGATTAATGACTTTGCTGTAATTACAAAATCATTACTATAATATGTTTTGGGACAAATGTTTTATTATGTATGCCATTAAAAATATTATTTCATAAACCTCTTAAATATTATAAACAAATGTACTTACTTCACTAAAGGATCATGGTATACAGAACTGGTTTCATACACAGCTGGCGGTTTTACAGGGAGGGCAGCTATCTTGCTCAGCTCGGAACTCTCAATAAGTTTGGCTTGATCTTCCTTACGAAAAATGGGGTTTTGAAAAAAGTCCGGAAAACTTGTTGGTCGTGAGTATTCGCGGGTTTGTAGTACCACTGAAATTCTATAAAATACATCATGATAAAGTAGTAATTTAATAATCACTAATACAACTTTTGGCTAAGACATTTCAGTCAGAAGGGATTTATCGTCATTTTTATACAAGGTGTAGAATTCAGGTTTACTATACACCTGTTTACAATTAACTATTACGATAGGTAGTATTAGACTAGGCTAAAATTAAAAATTAACATTCCTACCTAGGCAGTGTATACGATGGATACCGCAATATACATTTATTCAAATGTCTAATGTTATTAGCCATATTATCTTCTTAAATTCAATATTATTATTATATATTTCTGCGAAAATACAATACTCAAATCAACATAACCTTACTTTTCTTACTTAGGTTAACATTTGACAGATAACTGAAGTGACAATGACAAAATTTTGACAACGACAGAATGTTTCGTCTGGAAATTTTATCGAAATTTGGGAGCCTGAAGCCTGAACCAATTTTCTACCCCTAAGAATACTGTATAACTGGCCTAGTCGCCACTTATAAACAACTCTGAGTAGAATCACTTCTGCCGCGCGTCCATTCTGGACGGCTAATAAGGCAAGCCATGGAAGACCTGTTTCTCGCCATGGTTCACGGCAGCCAGCAAGTAAAGCCAAGCCAGAAATGTTGAACCTTGCCTCAAGGGGGCTTATTTTTTCTCCAATTATGTATATGGATCAAATATCGATATACGAACGAATTACGCAATAATACATAAGCATTTATAACATTTTTTATCCCATAATGAGAAAACAATATAAAATCGTGTTTCCAATGAAGAAAAGGGGAAGAAAAAAAGAACAGTTTAATGTAAACACGGGCCAAGCCGCGTTCAAAAGCTAGTTATAAATAAATGCATATTTTGTCTATTAATATTTATTACCAATTAAAATATATGTCACTAAAGTACTTAAGATTAGTATTTTGAATATCATATAAATGAATACTGAAACTACTAAAATTGTTTAAATATAAGAAAATAATAAAGATAATCCTAATTCATAAAACTTTTAAACTCAGTCATATAACCAATATTGTAAAATAGTCACGAAATTTGGGGCAATTAATATACAGAATAAAAATATTATACAAGTATATTAAAATTTAAAATAGGTACTCTGAAATTTTACAATAGGTAAAATTAAACTATGTATGTATGTAAATCTGTATAAAGTTATTGTACATCACGTTTGTGCTTTTTATTTGGCTTTAGTTGGGCCTCAAATTGTTTCTGTTCTGACTCAATTAATTTACTTTGCCTCTTAGTTTTGTTTTTTTCTGTCACACTTATTTCACTTTCGACATTCTTTGCCTTTGTGGACCCAGACTTTCCATTTACTGACTGATTAAAACTTTCATTGACTGTCCCTGGAGAACTTATCTTAAGCTGCATTTTGCCAGAGTTTATTAATTTAGTATTATTTTTTGAAGTTGAATGTGGAAGACCATCTCCTATTTGTTTTTGACTGTATGGCTTTGTCTTGTCAAAGTCGACATAGGATACATTAATTGTGGATGTTGGCTTTTTTTCCACTTCTTCGTCATCATCCCCATCAGGCCCGAGTTTGACACATCTGCAAATGGAAAGAAATCAATGAATATCACTATTTACTCAATTATACCTGTAGACAGTACAAATACATAAAAAAGTTCAGTTTCAATTTTCATGAAAGTTAAGTGAAAATTTATGATAATGATATATCTGAAACTGAAGACTGTGAGGAATTAAGACTTGTGAGTAGGTAATGCAAAAGTTGGTAAGTAATTGAAACTAATTTGAAAAGTTGACATTTAGAATAATCTAAAATTATGAAAAACAGGGGGGTTTTTGTTAGAGCAAGAGTATTGCGACCTTTTTTTAATCTCTATGCATTTTATGATAGTATTTTGAATTTTCTTTTTTTGAGTTGACAAGAGAACGTCAAGTAATAAATATGTGTTCTGCCAAGTGTGTTTTTACTAATATCCTATAATATATCTTTATGAATTTTTCTTCCAAGAGCTACTCTGTGAAGGAGTGTACCTACGTAGTATCACACTCCTTCAGGTTATGATCACCAGCGGAAATAGAAAGTACGATCATGAATAACTCTGGGAGCAGCGGCAATGGTACGCATATACAATCACAATCGTATCCATCCCAAGGAGTAAGTATGAGTTTACCAGCAATAGAGAAACTTGATGGTAGTACTGATTATAATACATGGAAGTTCATGATGGAACTTTATCTAATTCATGAAGACTTGTGGGAATACACTCAAACAACACCAGCTGCTAGTGATGTTTCCGGCTCTAAAAGAGATCAGAAAGCGAGGGCAAAAATCTGTTTAATGATTAAACCACATTGTTTGATACACGTACGTGAATCGAAGACTGCAAAAGCGGCATGGGATGCCCTGAAGACTGCCTTTGAAGACAAGGGCCTGAATAATCGATGCAGACTTCTTACAAAGTTGGTGAGCCTGAAACTAGAGCAATTTTCTTCAATCAGAGACTACATAACTGCCATAATGACAGTAGCGCAACAGCTACGTGATCTGGGCAAAAAGGTAGATGATGAATTACTTGCAGCGTTGATGCTACAGGGGTTGACAGAGACTTTCCAACCCATGAGGTTAGCAATAGAAAACACAAACATAGAATTGACTACAGATTACGTCAAAACGAAATTACTTCAGATGGAGGATACTTATCAAGCAAGTCCTAGTACCGTGACAACCGCATTACAAGCTAAAAATAAAAGTCAGAAAGATAAGTCACACAAGAATATGAGTAGATCACGTGTCGTTAAGTGCTTCATATGCAAAGAGAACCATAAGGCTAAGGATTGTCCGAAAAACCCTATTCAAAAGAAGGATGCCTTAACCTCATTAGCGTTAGCAACAGCAGCACAAGGACATGGAGAATGGATTCTCGACTCCGGAGCTTCTAACCACATGACAAATCGGAGAGATTGGCTTAAAGACTTTAAGAAATTAGACAAATCAATTGTAATAGCTTGTGCAAATGGAGAAACTGTGGTTGGTGAAGCAATTGGTAATGTAGTCAACGAGGATATGGACGTCTCAATTAATAATGTTTTGTATGTACCTAACTTAGCTACAAATTTACTCAGTGTTAGCACAATTGTAAATAAAAACCTTGTAGTTGTATTTGAGAAATCTGGCTTTAAGATAATCAAAGCAGATGGATGTAAGGTTTCCGGGGAGACCTTGTATGAAGGTACTGCAAATAACGGTGTCTATAAAATACAGTATTGTTCACAGGAAGTAGGTCTAGCTTCAACCGCTGCTGACGAAATAATATTGTGGCATAGGCGAATGGGACATCTAGGGGTACGGAACCTAATGTTACTTAAAAACAAAATGGCAGATGGGGTAAGTTTTTCTAATACTGCTTCTAAGCTAGAGTGCGAAGCGTGTGCAGTAGGAAAACAGACCAAGAACCCTTTCAAGAAAACTGGTGCCACTAGGGCAAGTGAGGTCTTAGGGTTAGTCCACACAGACGTGTGCGGACCCATGAGAGAGAAGTCGTACGGAGGCTCACGATATTTTCTCACATTCATTGATGATTTCACTAGAAAAACATTTGTATATTTCTTGAAAAGTAAAGGAGAGGTCTTTGAGAAGTTTGCCGAATTCGTAAAACTTACTGAACGTCAAACTGGAAAGAAATTTAAAATTATCAGATCTGATAATGGCAAAGAGTTTGTCAATAAGCGTATGGATGAGTTCTGTAAAGCAAAAGGGATCTGTCACCAACTGACAATAGAGTATACACCCGAACAAAACGGAGTTGCTGAGCGAGCTAACAGAACTATCACTGAAAAAGCCAGGACAATGTTAGAAGAAGCTGGTTTAGGCAGAAAATTGTGGGCAGAGGCAGTCAACACCGCCGTGTATTTAAAAAATAGGTCTCCAACTAAAGCCTTGAGAAACAAAACGCCCGAAGAAGCTTGGACTGGAAGAAAAGTGAACTTAAGCCACCTCAGAGTGTTTGGATGTAAAGCTTATCTTCATGTTCCAGATCAGAAGCGCACAAAATGGGATCCTAAGGGCACAGAGTTGTCCATGTTGGATATGGCGAAAACGGTTATCGCCTTATTAACCCTACGACAGGAGTGTTGCACAGAGGTAGAGATGTTATATTTTTTGAAAACTCAAAAGTACAGCTACGTGCTCCCGTTAATCAAGCCGTCCCGCTACCGCTGACGGATGTTACGGTTGAGTATGATAGAGTTTCAACTCATCATGAAGAGCCAGAAATTCCTGAAGAACCTGGAAATCCAGCTCTTGAGAATGTTGAGGTTGAAGATGAGGTTTGGGAATCATCTGACGAGGGGAATGAAGCAGATCCTGAGGATGGTCTTGTAGAAGAAGGTAGAGAGCTACCAGTAAATGACAATGGGCCATCAGATAGAAGATATCCGCTTCGAGAAAGAATACCAAAAGCATATCCAGATTTTGTAACTTACCAAGCAGTCAAGGCATCGCCAGACCCTTTAACTGTTCAGGATGCATTATCTAGAGAAGATGGAGACAAATGGAAAGCCGCAATTGAGGAAGAGCTGAGAGCCCTCGAGAAGAATAAAACTTGGACGTTGGTGAAGCAGCCAAAGTCGTGCAACATTGTTGATTCGAAATGGTTATTTCGAATTAAAGAAGAGGCGGGGGGAAAAACTCGTTATAAGGCACGACTTGTAGCAAGAGGATTCAGCCAACGGAGAGGAGTCGACTACTTTGAAACTTTTTCGCCTGTAGTCAGACATAGCTCATTAAGAGTCTTAATAGCCTTAGCCGCCCGTTTAGAGTTAGGCATAGATCAAATGGACGTTAAAACGGCATTTTTGAATGGAGACTTAAATGAAATCGTCTATATGAAGCAACCAGAGGGGTTCGAGGTAAAGGGCAAGGAGAATTATGTCTGTCTTCTAAAAAAATCTTTGTATGGACTGAAACAAGCGCCACGAGCGTGGAACGCAAAGCTTCACTCTGAACTTATAAGACTGAAGTTCAGAAGATCTGAAAATGAGCCATGCGTTTACACCCGGTCACAGAATGGAAACATAATGATTATTGCTGTGTATGTAGATGACATTTTGATATTTTGGAACAATAAGCAAGAGATGTTCAAATTCAAAGAAGAGTTGAAGTCTAGATTTGATATGAAAGATCTCGGCAAAGCTGAGTTAATGCTGGGAATTAATATTGTTCAAGATGTCAACAAAATTAAACTGCATCAGGAGAAGTATATTGATGGACTCCTGAAGGCATTTAATATGGAAGACTGCAAACCAGTAGTTACACCAGCAGTACCCGGTCAACGGCTAGAGAAGCCTACACATGGAAGGAGACCAGATGAGAGAATTCCATATCGAGCACTGATAGGTTCGCTCATGTATGTAGCAGTATGTACAAGGCCTGACATTGCTCATGTGGTTAATTATCTTAGCCAGTTCAATGAATGCTATGAGGAACAACATTGGATTGTAGCAAAGCGAATCCTCCGTTACCTGAAAGGAAGCAAGACGCTTGGGTTGACATACAACAAACAAAAATACCCAGAAGTTGTTGTTGGTTACGCGGATGCCGATTATGCAGGAGACGCTGATCGACGTTCATATTCAGGTTCCGTGTTCCTTATTCAAGGAGGTGCAGTTTCTTGGCAAAGCACGAAACAACGAACGGTGGCTATGAGCACAGCCGAAGCAGAATACGTGTCGCTATCAGAAGCTGCAAAAGAAGCTGTCTTTCTCAAAAGGCTGATTGCAGAGATGACTGGTAAACAGGAAGAAACAATTCGGATTTTCTCAGACAGCCAGTCAGCAATTGCTATAGCCAATAATCCTGTACATCACCAACGTACAAAACATGTTGATGTGAGATATCATTTTATACGCAATGCTGTTGAGTCGGGAGCTATAAAATTGGAGTATCGGGAAACAGATAAGATGGTAGCAGATGCTCTGACCAAGGCTCTCCCCAGAGGCAAGTATGAGTGGTGTGTGAATGGTATGGGATTGCGTGTATAAAGTAAAGATGTGTGTGTACATATCATATGCATGAGATTAAGGAGGAGTGTTAGAGCAAGAGTATTGCGACCTTTTTTTAATCTCTATGCATTTTATGATAGTATTTTGAATTTTCTTTTTTTGAGTTGACAAGAGAACGTCAAGTAATAAATATGTGTTCTGCCAAGTGTGTTTTTACTAATATCCTATAATATATCTTTATGAATTTTTCTTCCAAGAGCTACTCTGTGAAGGAGTGTACCTACGTAGTATCACACTCCTTCAGTTTTCTATATGTAGGTCACACACAAATGTAGTAAAAACAGTTTGTTTTATAATATTTTACCTGTCATCCAGTTGTCCCCTAATATAAGGCAGTGCTCCAAACAAGTCTAAGACAACTATTCTGAATTTGACCTCCTGCCCTTCCTGGATATTTGAGCCAACCCACATATTTCCAGGCTCTTCTGTCGGTCTCGGAATAACAACATTGAACACCCTGAAATGTCAAACAATTGCAATATATATTTGCAACAAATACAACCACAAGTGCTTTACAATATTGCACAATATTTGTTATCAAAGAGTAATTGACAATTGCACAATTAAATTAAAAGTGATAATAAGGGAAAAAAGGATATCAATAATGTAATATTTACCTATGCACAAGGATGCCCAAATGTGTGGTGCTTTTTTTATTAACAACTCCTGTTAAAGTAGCTCCAACAAAAGGTCTAAAAATAAAATAGTCTGCTTGCACTTGAAAGTGGATATCTGCATTATCATTTCTGATGGTTCCAACATTTTGAAGAATTCTGAGGTTCTTGTAACTTAATAGAATTCCATTGAATCTGAAACAATATTTTTGTTTATATGCTGTATTAGCTCTACATGCTTGTTATCATTAATAATCTAGGTGTTAGAGGTTTATATTTTGAGTGTTCACTTACTCTTTGTCAAATTTTCCTATTTTGTAATCCAGTAAGTTTTTGATTGATTCCTTGAGGTTTCCGAGACACCACGGTTGAAGAGCAAGATTTTGAGTCACTTTTTTTTCAATAATACATGAATTTTTGTCGTTAGCTAGTTTTTTTAGTTCTTTGATATCAAATTTTATAATTGTTGACATTTTACCACCGCATAAATTAATTTCAAATTAATTAAACTAGACAACCACTAAAGCAATAACCAAAGTTAGTAAATTTAGCTAACACTTATTTTGACATCCCAAATGCATCTGAATTTCATTCCGAAATTATATTTTGTTTTTCAGTTTTCCAAACAACCAGTGTTGCCATCTTTTCTGTGCCTAATTTGACACTTGACAGTCGTGTAAACAGAGAATACCTCTATGATTTTCGCGCGCAGTGCGGCGCGCTCCCGCTCGTGCTGCGCCTGCAGCTGCGCGCGCGCACGCCGCGCCGCCGCGATTTTCTCAAAGATTTTCTAAACAAGAACAAAGAAGAACAACCATACTAATCGTGGACAGATAATATAGGCTATATTCTCTGTCTACGATATTATTATAACACGTCTCATCTCTAAAGACAGTTCTTGTATTTTAGTAGTACGACTAAAACAGAGACTAGGGGCGACACCGATTCTGCCTAAACTTTATGCAAGCGAACCTTTGGGATCAAGGGCGCAAGGTCTGGCGAATCCAGTGACTTCAGGAAAGACGGTGGCACAGTGGTCACGAGTCCCGTGCATATCAAGGCTTAAAGCGGTCACGAACATATTGATAGGAATGTTGTGTAATAATAGGCGTTGCACCGTCGTAGGGACTATAGAGTTGGCCTATTGAGAGATCACAGTGTCCCTTACAGAGGTGTTGATGATGGCCACCGGGGAGGTTGTAGCGAGGTAAAAATCCCACACTCACTAGTCTTTTTACCCCAAAAGCTAAGCGAGCTAGCGATATATATGTATTGTTGTTGATAAGACGATCAAGCTTGTTGAGCACAAGAGAATTGACTCACGTCACCATAATTGATTGAAAAAAAAAACAAGATGAGGACCGCCTAAAAACCACCCAGTTTCTTCTCTTTATCCTAACCGGGGCTTCGGTACATTATTGCGTTGTCACTCGCGACCACGGCTAGATCAGTCCTAGTATCCCACTGTGTACCACTACACTGTGCACTGTCCCCTAGTATTACACACACATAGTACTCCCATCTATGGGGTGCCCGAGCGTACGGCGCGTAGCGTTCCGCGCGCGCCTCAAAGAGCCATTAGACCACCACAGACGGGGCCCTAAAGGGCTGATGTTCAGCTGGGGTTGCGGGGTAAGCGCAATGAGGCACCGCTACCTCGGCACAGAGCAGGAGAAGGAACAGGGGGGTTTTTAGTCAGTAAGAGTCTGGCACTCCCTCCTGCCCGGCCCTGGGCGGGAAAAGTCACTTGATGATTTTCCCCTCAAAAAAAAAAAAAATTGGTGGGGTGAAGAAGATTTTACAATTTTAGTAAAATATATATTAAATCTTAATCTTCAGAATTAACCAAATTAAACATAAGAATTTGGTAAACAAAATTCAAATGAAAGCGGAACAATAGTTTAATAAAACAAGATATTTTATTAAATTAATAAAAATTTTAATTGTAAAAAGGAGTTTTTATTTAACGAGTCTCTAGAGTATTTACTCTCCGCCTAGCACAGAGTACTATATAGTCAGACTCTGTCAGACACCAAGCGCTTCGCAATAGTCTCTATTATTTTGAGTATCCATTATATTTATTACTTTTTACCCACAGAATATTATTATGGTTGCCTTTGCCCAAGTTTGCCACAGAGAATAGATTATAGAGTTTAAATTGACTGTCAAACTTATGCCATCATCGAATTGTATGTTGTCGATTGGTACGATGCTTACATTCGACAATATATTTACATGGCTTACTATGAGAACGTGACCAATTTTTTCCTATTTTAAACATTCAAATGGAGAATTTGGAAGCTGTAATTTGCACCAAAGAATAGTGGAAAACAATACAATTATCACTTTCGTATAAGATAAAAATGTCGAAGAATGGCGAGGTGTCATCAAACCAAGGTAATAGCTGATAATTGAAACCGTTGTAAATGCAAACAGATCATTGATTTAGTTATTAATATCAAATAAAAATCTTTAATCACGTGTAAATTTCTTTCAGGCCCGAGTAGACCGACTATGCCGAAGCCTGAATTGAACTTATTTGGCTTGGAGAAGCGCAAAGGTTTGAACCTACAGATTGCCGGAGGTCCATCAGGGGACGGTGCAGCATTTATGCCATTTCCTGCAAACCCGCCCCCTGTACAGAGACCCCGAGTTCCCTCTCGTACCATTAGAGATGTATTGCCTGAAAACACAAGGTAAATCCTGATTATTGATTGTTTATTATCCAATAATGTGTTTTTTCATTTATGAAGTAATAATATGTCAATATCTAGTTATTGTATAGACTGCACATGGAGGTGATCAGTAATGGTCTAAGATGTTCATGTAAGTCAGCTTATAAGTTGATTGCTACACATAATACAATTGGAATATTTCAGAGACAGATGTAGGATATATCCGTCCATGCAATCATCAGGCAAATTGCAATTGTCTGCAACAGAAGTATATGACTTCACATCTGATGATCTGCAGGATCTTGGTGAAATAGGCAGGGGTGCGTTTGGGGCAGTAAACAAAATGGTCCATAGAAAGTAAGTGACTAAGTGATGGTTACTTGTCTTGTATTTTTGTGAAAGCTTATCTTGATAACTGTGTTACTATCTCACTTTATTTTTGCAAAGAACTATAATTGCCATTCAATGCATATTTTGTCTATTCATTTGTAATTTTTTATAAGTGAAATAAGTAACATTTATTAAACAAAAAAATGGATTACCTGCTGAATTATGTTGCTCTATTAATATTGACATTATCAGTAAACTATGTTGTGTCATATAATATGTATATAGCTATGTGTCAAAAAGTAATGAAGTGACTGAATTAGTAACAAAGAAAGTTTGCAAGCAATGAAGGCTTCTGATAATTCAATCTTTCTACTATCAAGGTTCTTTTAATTAAAAATATTTTTAATTTATATGTACTTTATTGAATATGTTTAGAACAAACCGTGTTATGGCTGTGAAGCGTATCCGCTCTACTGTTGATGAGAAGGAACAGAAGCAACTATTGATGGATCTTGAAGTTGTTATGAAGAGCAATGAGTGTGGATACATAGTGCAGTTCTATGGAGCTTTATTTAAAGAGGTAACTGTACCACCAAAAATTTCCTGAAGCCATTGTTAGTGTTTCATAAGTAGTTAGGAATTATATAATTATAAGAAAGCTGTATAAATTTTACTTAATTTTTAACTGATTGACTACTACACAATTTCAGGGAGACTGTTGGATTTGCATGGAGTTAATGGATACTTCATTAGACAAATTTTATAAGTTTATATGTGAAAGGATGCAGACTCGAATACCTGAAAACATTTTAGCTAAAATAACACTTGCAACAGTTAAAGCTTTAAATTATCTAAAAGAAAAATTAAAAATAATTCACAGGTGAGTTGAAAATCTGCCTTTGGGCAGATGTGCAGAAGGGTACTAAGTGTTTGCTTATTTGTTATTTTGTCTTGTTGCTTTATGCTGTTACTGGGATTTCAAATAATTCAAGAACTTATAATTTTCTCTAACCTGATGATAAAATATGATTGTGTTGTGATTTAACACATTTTTATTATATTCAACAGTTGTCAAGGCATAGAAAGCTACTCAAACCATAGCTGTAGGTATATTAATTGACTGTTTTATTCACAGGGATGTAAAACCATCAAATATTTTATTGGACCGAAGAGGAAACATCAAATTATGTGATTTTGGTATATCTGGTAAGCTAGTGGACTCAATAGCACGCACTCGGGATGCAGGGTGCAGACCATACATGGCTGTGAGTTCAATTTTTATATTTTTCTCGAACACTCAGCAATTTTTTAGCTATGTCATACTCTATATTTGAACATCGAGTCAAACTATGAACCAACTATAGATTGAATATCTTGTCTTATTGTTATAACAATTTGTGTCTTTTATCAGCCGGAGCGCATTGATCCTGGTCGAGCTCGTGGTTACGATGTGAGGTCAGATGTCTGGTCCCTTGGCATTACTCTCATGGAGGTAGCCACTGGGGCCTTTCCTTACCCGCGCTGGGGATCTGTTTTTGAACAGCTACAACAGGTTGTACAGGGTGACCCACCAAGGCTAACCAACACTAACAATGCTTTTTCCAACAATTTTGTCAACTTTGTCAATACTTGGTAAGTTTATTAAGATTATTCCTCATAGAGTTAAATTGTGAGTCTAAATTAAAATTGTAATCTCACACTTTTTTATTACAGCCTCATTAAAGAAGAAAATCAGAGACCTAAATATAACAGATTATTGGAACATCCATTTATTAAGGGTATTGATCAAAGCAGGGCTGATGTTGCTGCATATGTTTGTGAAATATTAGAAGCCATGGAGCGTAATGGTGTAAGTCCTTTCACAACAGACCAGCCTGCACAGGCATGGGTTGATTAATTTATTACTATCCAAAACTATTGTGTGGGATATTTGCTTGATATAAATTTAATAACACCAATTCACACTTGCAATATTTTACCATACATTTTTATAAATTTAAAGTCTGCTCAAGGAATATAAAATTGTTTGTTAAGAAGACACTAAATTGTAGTAATTTCTTCTGTTCTGGTTAATCCATTTTGTGGTTTTGGAACCGTAATTATCGCGAGACATACTAAGTTTATTGAAAATAACTTACTCATGGAGTCGGCTGCGCGACGTCGGTCGTCGGGCCGCGCACGCTGCTCGTGATTAAGAATCCCGTTGGAACTTAAAACTCAGAGAGCCATTTGAGAATTGTTGGGAAATCATGTTACATAAAGAACCATTCTTGATAAATCTATATATCTATCTCATTTATCAAGGAACTAGAATTTATAAAATTTACTCACATTTCTCGATCGTGTATAAAAGGGGTCATTTCGAATATTGCAAACACTAATTATATATAAATCTACTATCTTTATTGCACATTTAATTGACTCTACCACTTTACCTTCTTTGAGATATGGCAGTTTGAAATTTAGACTAATTTTCCTCTTCTATCAAATTGTTTTACAAAATGTTGTTTTACAATTTTAATGGTTGAATTTCCTTAATTTTCTATGTCGTTATTGACTGTATGTCTAACTTGACTTTATATTGTAGCACCTTTTCTCCTCTGAAAATCACATGAACTACATTGTGCACTGTACTTAACAATACAATATCATGGGATAAAATATTCATTCAATATTAACTACAAGATAGCTTAATTGCTGCCTTATTTAATATTGTTATGTAAGTTAACTTGAATTCTCAAACAATTTAGTGTCTTCTTAACAAAAAGGCTTTAAAAAATTGCAAATATTAGTCATTTTCAGGTAATTTTCCACTGTGATTTTGTTGTAGTCTATTCAAGGCCTTGCCATCACAGGTTAATAGGAGGGTTATAAACTGAATGTGACTAGTATAATAGGCACCAAATCAGTTACTGAGTAGAACATTAGGGCAACTAGGAAAATTGTTAATTGGTTTATCATAAATAAAATGTGATTGTGTTTTTTAGAAGTGTAACAAATAATATTAACTTTGAAATTTTGTATAATATTAATTATTGAGACTGCCACGAATGTAGAAGGATAAGGAAAGCCATGATGCATAAAACAATACGGTAAAACGGGGTGAATAGAAATAGACACAGAAGAGGGGTGAATAGAAACTAGAAAAATTCGCCAACATATATGTTCACCCCTTTCGTGTATCTATTTGCCCCGTTTACGGTATTGTGAATATTCATAAAAATATGAAAAATGATAAAAAATATCAAAAACATTGAGTCATTGCAGAAGAAGCACTGGACACCTTTCAGAACTTTGATATTCTTGGCAGTCACAAACTTCCAAATGAACATTCTTTATTGTACTTAGGTACACACATTCACTTAATGCAAGGGCACATCACGTAAGGACGGCCAATTAGTTACAACATGTGTGTTATTGTATATTTTTTGTTGTTTGCAATATTGAACAATTTATTTAGCAAGCCATAATGTTAGAGTTGTTTAAGCCTGACTAGCCGATTTAGGTACAAATGTAATGCGGGATGTTGGTGGTGACAATAATTTCTCCAGATAATTTTACAGATGATAATAGTATGTAGATAAGAATAAAACTTGATATAAAGTCAAGTTTGATAACTTTAGTACCTACTGATTTCATATAAAGTTTACCTAATGCAAGTTTATGTAATTTACATCTACTATTGCCACTAACAAAAATCTGCTTCTCTGCATTTAAGCTTTTATTTTAAGCTAAAAACCAAGAGTTATACGTAAAATAAACTACATGTATTATTGCATACAATTGTAAATGAAAAATATGGTCATTTAATCACATATTGCTAAGTGCTTATATGAATTGTTTCTCTGCATTTTCAAGTCACTAAGATTTTAAATTAAATATTATTTTACAATATTAGGTTTTTATAGATGACTACTGAAATTTAATCAAATGATAAGACAGATAATGGCAAAAATGTCTTGTCATAATGCCCATCTTTGGCTATTTTATCTATCACTAGAAAATAACCATAAATTGTTATAAGGTTCATGTTTATGCATGTTCTAAATGAGTTATTTTTCTAACATTTTCCCAAGTTAATTGTTTTATTGTTATTATAATTTAAATGTTTTCAAGACTTCAAATGGTTTAGATAACTCTTAAAATGTTGTACAATAGTTTCAGTAAACTTCTCTGGCTGGCTAACTAAAATGTTTGGGTTAGGAAATGAATTACATGTAAGTGATTTTATAAATTTGTATATACCAACTAAATAATTATTATAAATTTTATGATTGTATGTTATTGTTAACCATAGTTGGGTCAGGATTGATAAATATCTGTTTCATCATAAGTTGTTGCTATACTGCCTGATGATAATTTATGCATCATATCTGAATTTTTAACTTACATCTGCCAAAAATCAATGGCTTGTTTTAATTTATGGTAAGCTGTCTACCCTTTATTCACTATCTTAGGTACACATGAATGAGAATTGTTTGAAAATTATAGATGAAAAGTCACTTGCAAATTGTTTTAACAGTGTATTTAATCTAAATTCACCTATTTATAAGATGTGGTTCTCAATACTACTGTATGTTTAAGAAGTAGATTGGTAACATTATGACTCTGTAGTTTTATTCACTTAATAATTATTTTATTCTAACACTTCTCCAATTCTTTTAGCATTTAAAACATTACCAAACTTAAGAAACAATTTGTATTTTGTTCCATCAGATAATTGTGGTGTTAGATACAAAGCATCTGTTGTTTTTGGGCGGATATCAAGTAAGGGGCACCAATCATCTACTTTCACTATTCTATCTTTTCTCTTCCCCCAAAAATCTACTGAAGATATTTTCAGTTTCTGATTGTCTACTCTAATATATAAATATCCAATTATGTTCTTGAATGGTAAACTAGCCAGTGAAAGAACTGCTGTTCCTGTGATTCCTGTAACAGAAGAAAACAATACTAAATGTCTACTCATAGTTTATACAATAATGAGGAATATATAGTCAGATGTGTTACCTATATAAGCTGCCGTATATAAAGCTCCTGGTGGTAGTACATCCATTATTTCCATTATACCACAACCTGGCACAGCTATTGATGTGCCTGTTAAGTGATATACTTTAAGCCTATTAAACAGTGCAACATATCTGATAAAAGGAAATGAGAATACAGTTTCATAAATACTAGGACTCTCAGGCTGGACTTCCAAATTTTCCTTTACAGTTGAACAACATCTTCGATTTATGAGATTGCAATTTCTGCTTCCTATTAATAATCTTAACATGTTTTCTAAGCAAGAGTGTTTAGTATACGAAAAATAATAACTCGATCAGCAGAAATCCACATTCTCAGATGATTTTGACATTACTTTGACGTTTATATAAATATTTTTTTCCGTTCAGGATCCGCTAACCGTTGTGATCATTGGGCCAAGTCTCCACAAGTAGATTCGTTAATTATTATTAATAACATATTCATTACTTATCCTGTTTTCTGTATAAAGAGTAACTATCCTGTTTATTTTATATATTCGAAGGAAGGAGCTTCGATCACATCTTTTTGTAAGTAATTTTTTTATTTTATTTTTGGTGATCCGAGATTTTTGTCCCGTAGACAAGTATGTCAGATCTGTCTACTATTAGATGTCAACGTCAAAGTCACATTGAGCAAGCATGTTGTTGTTTTGCGACGGCATGGAATTTTCGAAGTGAATACAATAAGAAACTACAAAATGAGCAATTTATTGAAAGAAATGTAAGTATAAGTTACTTTACTTAAGTTTAAGTACCGCTATCAATTTGCGCCCGATGTTGCTATTACATACTTCTTGAGAACAAGATATTCATGTCTAATTTATATTATTAAAAATAACACGCTAAAGACACCAGCACAGTTAAAATAAATAGAGTGTAATGTGCAATACTATCATTCGATAACATGTTTTATGAACTATATACTATGATGCTAAAAGTTCACTAATAAAGAAATCACGTTTTTGTTGATAGGTTAGTTGCCAAAACCCACTTATAGAAATATGTAATCAACAAGAATGTATAAAAGTATTAGTCATTTATTATTTATTTACAGTTCATTACCATTAATTACAATATTATGTGTTTCAGTTATGAAAAAACTGCAGAGTACACTGCATTTTACACTGGTGGAGATGTACAATGGACATCAGATGGAGTTCATCTCCTTTGTCACTGTGATGATGTCATTAAAGTGGTTGATGTCAACACGTTCTCTACGAGCCACACCATAGCACAGACTGATGAAGATGCTGAGCCAGATCAAATTTATACCTTCCAAATGTCTCACAATAACAAATCAGTTGTAACTGCACACAAAAGTGGACTGATGAAACTATGGGATCAAGAGACAGGACAGCAGCAGAAAATTTGGAGATCCGGTCATAAAGGCCCTGTTGCTAAAATAGCATTTGAAAACTCTGATGAAAATATTGCTTCAGGTGGGTCTGATGGCAATATTAGATTATGGGACCTAGCACATAATACTTGCACAAATAGTTTACGAGGTGCAGTTGGTGTATTCTCTGTTTTGAAATTTCACCCGGATGCAAACAAGCAATTGGTTTTTGGAGCAGCTGATGATACAAAAATTAGATCATGGAACTCAAAAACTGGCAAGGAACATTTAATATTTTCAGGACATTTCAGCAAAATCACTTCACTGCAGTTTACTTCAGATGGAGAGCACATGGTCAGTTCTGGTAGAGATAGAGTATTAATATTGTGGAGTATAAATGAAAGTAAAGCACTTCGAGTTGTTCCTGTATATGAAAGTATAGAATCTACAGTTCTTTTGCCTGCAACATTCAAAATACCGAATTTTAAAAAGAAACTTGAGACAGAAGGTATATATGTTGCTTGTGCAGGAGAAAAAGGTGTTGTCAAAGTATGGAACATGTTAATGAGCCGACTCATGTTTGAGCAGAACAATAGTCTTGTGTCTCCAGCAGCTGATGAGGGTGGATTGGCAGTGACACACTTGCTTTTTAATGAATTGCGGAATGTTCTGTCTGTTGTCACAGCTGATCACAATATTATAATCCATGATCTTGAGACTTTTGAATGTAAAAAACAGTTAATTGGTTTTACTGATGAAGTGTTAGATATAATATTTTTGGGAAAAGATGAAACACACTTAGTAGTAGCTACCAACAGCCCTGACTTGAAATATTATGAAATTGATAGTATGAATTGCCAAATTTTAAAGGGACACACAGATATAGTCTTGGCTCTTGCTCGTTTTCCAACCAAACCTGAAATGTTTGTGTCTTCAGCCAAAGACAATTCTGTAAGACTTTGGTTACAAAACCCTGACAGCAAAATATCTTGTATTGGAGTTGGAGCTAGACATACAGCATCTGTTGGATCAGTTTTTGCCTCCC